TAGGCTTACAACCTCATGTAACGTGTAGTAAAATGTTAAGAATGGCTGTGGCTGGTCGTGTGCGGGACTAAAAAAAAAAAAGCCTGGACTGAGTTTGTCATGGATGCAAATTCTGGGTTGAATAAAGCAGCGCATATTAACTCTGGATCTTTCTGTTCTACAGGAGGGCATGGAGGGGCTCTTGGGTACCCTGGTCCAGTTGCTCGGTTCAGACGACATCAACGTGGTGACGTGTGCTGCTGGAATCCTGTCCAACCTCACCTGCAACAACTACAAGAACAAGATGATGGTATGCCAAGTGGGCGGCATCGAGGCCCTTGTGCGCACTGTACTTCGTGCTGGAGACAGAGAGGACATCACAGAGCCTGCTATCTGCGCTCTACGTCACCTCACATCCAGACATCAGGATGCAGAGATGGCCCAGAATGCAGTGCGGCTGCACTATGGGCTGCCTGTGGTGGTCAAATTGCTCCACCCTCCCTCACATTGGCCTCTCATTAAGGTATGGAAGTGATATGAGATCATCACTCCTGTCTTTTAGTAGCTTTCACTGTGCATTTTTTTGCATAAAGGTATTTTTTTACCACTTTTTAAATGCCCGTTTCCTCTCCCAGGCCACAGTCGGGCTGATCCGTAACCTGGCACTGTGCCCCGCCAACCACGCCCCGCTCAGAGAGCAGGGTGCCATTCCCCGCCTGGTGCAGCTTCTGGTCAGGGCCCATCAGGACACTCAGAGGCGCACCTCCATGGGTGGAACACAGCAGCAGTTTGTGGTGAGTCATGGTCACATGATCGTCTGGATTTTATGTCTGCTGAATTGTGCAAGTTCATTAACCTGAAATGAAACCCTTATACCCAATTAATCCATATAAGCACACAAGTTAAGGTATCCAGTAATTTTCTTGCAGAATGGATAGGCGAATGAAGTTTCCGTGTGTGTGTTGTTTCAGGAAGGTGTGCGTATGGAGGAGATCGTGGAGGGCTGCACTGGAGCTCTGCACATTCTTGCAAGAGACATTCACAACAGAATCGTCATCAGAGGACTCAACACTATTCCACTGTTTGTTCAGGTCAGTCACTGAGATCTCGCATTCTCTGTCTGTCTCTGTTATGACGTTCATTCTATTGTCTAACAGTCTCTGTTTATTAAGTTATCTTTCGCTTTGTCGATTTATCTAGCTATTGATCAAGTTTTAGTTTGTTTGTTCTGTCCTTTTATCTATAGATTTATCTATCATTCTGTCTATTGATCTTTCTTTCATTTGCTCTGTCATTTTATCTATCATTTGATCAATCATTGACTTTATCTATCATTTGTTCATCATTATTGATCTGTCATTTGTTTGCTTGTTCTGTTGAACTCTTTCATTCGATCACTTCTATCTATTGTTTGGTTCTATCTACTATTCATTTGATCTGTTTGTTCTATATATCGTTTTTCCATTTTATGACTGTTTTTATTTACGTTTATCTTTCATTCCATTTCTCTATTGATTATTCTTTGGTTCGTTCTATCAGTCTAGTTGTCCTAGATATTGTTTGTTCTGTCTATTGATTATCACTTGGTGGCTTGTTTTTGTTCATTTTTCTATTTTGTTCTAATTATCATTCTGTCTCTGTTCATTGTCTTGATTTGCTGTTTGTTTTATCTATAGATTGTATGCTTGTTAAACGTGATTGACAACACGCCGTATTTATTTTTTATTGTGTGCAAATTTCGGACGAGAATTTCAGACTCTATGCAAGGACCTTTATTCTTTCTTTTTTTAAATTGAGAATTAAAGTTTGGATGACCCTTTTTTACTTCCATTAAGTTGGTATTATATTTGCATATACTGAACTTTTAGTTTGATCCTGTCTGACATGTCTCTCTCTGTCTTTCTCTGCAGTTGCTGTATTCTCCTATTGAGAACATCCAGCGTGTAGCTGCAGGTGTGCTGTGTGAGCTGGCTCAGGATAAGGAGGCAGCTGAGGCCATCGAGGCAGAAGGAGCCACGGCTCCTCTCACAGAGCTCCTCCACTCCAGAAACGAGGGAGTCGGTGAGTGTGTGTGCTCCACCTCTTAAACAGCACATGTGTGTGAGCACAACCGCCATAGAATAATGCAGAAAGACATCAATTACATATAAATAATGGCCTCCTGATGTCTCATCATAAAGTTTGAGTTAAACTTCCACAGAATAAACACAGAAGCAAGTATGAATACAAAACACTATGCAGATTTGTTTTCCCAGCTATGCATGGATTTCCACTGGGGTGAGCAGGGCTGGCTTGAATGTTTTCTCGGTCACACTAACGTTGCTATCTCTCGCCCACAGCCACGTATGCTGCTGCAGTTCTGTTCCGCATGTCTGAGGATAAGCCCCAGGACTACAAGAAACGACTGTCTGTGGAGCTCACCAGCTCTCTGTTCAGAACTGAGCCCATGACCTGGAACGAGGTAAGGGGGCTCATCTCTGCTAAATCCTGCAATCAACGCTGGCACAGAGCCCTGCTGTAGATTAAGCCTATAAATTCCCAGCACATTACAGAATCGGTTATGGCAGATGTGGGTGTTATATTTGTGAATTTACTGGGCAGGTGATTCTTTCTAACAAAGCATTATTGTTTTTATGAGCCTCAAGCACTCTGAAAGCATTAGCGGAACTGATTCGGTCCTGATATATGCAGCATTTGAGCCTGAAATGAGTGTTTCTCTTATGTATCTTTTTCTCGTGTGTCTGTTTGCAGACTGGAGATCTAGGGCTGGACATCGGTGCGCAGGGAGAGCCTCTGGGCTACAGGCAGGACGGTAAGTTCATCATTTTCACAAATGAGATCCACTCTCAGCATCTGGGTGTGATACTCACTAATCCACTGCTTCATCAGCCTTCACCCACCAAACCTAGAGACACGCCTGGCGCTTTCCATTAAGACAGGGCACAAAATAAGGCCTGGAACTCTGAGGATTGAAAATAGTCTTTCATGCACCCCTCATGTTGTGAGACCTTCTCAAGAAATTAGATGTTAGGCATAATGTTAGATCTGACCGTTACAATCACCATTCACTTCTTTTCCTTTTCTGTGCAAAGAAAGAATAGTGACTTCATGAATTCATGTCATTCTGCTTAACATATATGACTGATTTCTTCCATAAACCACAAAATGAGTTTGTAACCTCATGAGCCTGAATGAATTTTCTTTTTTGGGATTTATCTCTTAAAATATTTCCCCCAGCCCTGATTTCAACAAATGGTCAGAAAAAAGTCCTTAACCATCAGTCTAAATGTATAAATAATTCTGAAATAATTTTGCATGTTTTTTTTCTCAATAGAGAGATATTACATAGAAAATTACCATTACCATTCTAGGTTCATTTTATTTTAGATAATCCATCCATCCAAACAAACAAACAGAAAAAAAAGCTCTAATAGGGCACCATATTCCTAGAGAATGTCGGGTTCCAGTTGAGTTGGGTCAAATGCCTTGTGTTCTCTCTCTGGTCTTATGGGTCTGAGGTTGTGCTATTGTGAGCTGCCCATTTAATATGCTCCCTCTAACGTACGTGTGTGTGTGTTTGTGTGTGTGTGGTCCCTCCACTTCCCATCCACTCCCCTCGTCCTCCAGACCCAAGCTACCGCTCCTTCCACTCCGGAGGTTACGGGCAGGATGCCATGGGCATGGATCCCATGATGGAGCACGAGATGGGCGGGCACCACCCGGGCCCAGATTACCCCGTAGATGGGCTGCCTGACCTCGGCCACGCCCAGGACCTGATCGACGGCCTCCCGCCGGGCGACAGCAATCAGCTGGCCTGGTTCGATACCGATCTGTAAATACAATGACTTTTTAGGTGAGGCACCAAGACGCCCGAACGTGCACTCTATGCGAATGGCCAGTTGTGTTTGGTCTGTGCTGACCGCACTATGTGTAGGAGATTTGAAAGGCTGGAGTAAAGCACGCCGGTAGCAGAACTAATCTGAACTGCATCTGAATTCATTACAGTCCTGTATGCGTGCGTGTTTCTCCCCTTGAATGGGATTCTAATCTGTTTGTCCCCTCTTTTCTCTCTGCTGCAGCTGTATCGTCTGATCTGAATGAACCTGCATTGTGATTTTGGCCTGTAGAGTTGCTGAGCGGGCTCAAGAGCGTGGGCTAGTTTCTCTGAAAGTGCCTGACACACTAATACAAGCTGAGTTTCCTATGGGAACACACGGAAGTAAAACTTTTGTTCTGGTCTTGGTCGGTCAGAATTTGGTGTGATTGACAGAAGAAAGCCCAAAAAGCAAATCCTAAGATGGAATTTTCAACCTTAGCCTTGCCTGTACTTTTTATTACTTTTAATTTTTCAAAGAATATTTCAGTCTGTAATGGTACTTATCTAGCTTGCTTTATGATACTCGTCTTTTATTTTGCAGAACTTTGTATTCCTTTCGACTGTCTCTCTTTCTCTCTCATAGTGTTGAGTTATAGTGGTAATGATCCATCAAGATTTTATCGAGTTTATGGTGTAGAACACTAATTAATCAGTTGAATTGTATTCTTATCAAATGTAACTGTGTAGCTTTTGTATAAAACCAAGAATTGGAGAAGTCCAAATATCAGCTCTCTTGCTTTAAAGAACTCACAAATGTTCCAAAGGGTTTGCAATCAGTTGGGGCCAGTTTTCCCTTTTTTTTTTTTTCCCCCCGTCTTGATCTATTTTTTTGATGGTAGCTTTAGAAAGGTTTTGGAAAGAACCCCTAATTATTGTAGCCTGCGATTGTTGGTTGGAGACTTGGTAATGACCTGGCTAAACAATAAAATGGACTTTAAATTTATCTAATTGTGGACATTTTTATTCTTGGAGTACACTAAATGTGATTTTAAATTAGCTTTAGTGCAATCATTCTAGAATTACAGAGTACATTTTACAACCACCGTCACAAGAGTTCAATAGTCTCTTGCAAAATGCCACTTATAAATCACAGTAACGGATACAAAAGGAAATATACATATTAAATACCAGGTGTGAAACTCTGTTATGTGGATCTGAGTTCTGCCTGGGACCCGATGCCCTTCAGAATCTCTGCAGCTAGAGATTCCACTGCCATGTCTGATTGGGACCTGGAAAAGAGCGGAAGAAAAGTGGTTGGAATACTCCCCATGTGTTTTTGTGTTCCAAAACAGAAACAATGGAGTTAATTTCAACTTGTGTGAAAAATCCATTCACTTATGGCAAGTACACAATGCAAGTCTCAAGCTCATTGCCTTAAGTTGGTAACCAGAAGCCCTTGTTCGTCACAGTGGCCTATCTGGTGTGCACACTTGGGAGATACTGCAAATGATGTTGGCCTGTCAGGTGTGTGTACGCTGTCCTGATGAGCGACAGTGTATTAGAAAGTGACGGATCAGGAAGCAGGAGCAAAATAAGCATCAAGCTGTTCCCCAAGCACACTTTGGGCTGGTGGGCTTGGGGAACACACAACACACTTTGCTTTGACTGAAAATGCATTCTAAGGTGGAAAAACACAAGGCATCAAATCTTCAGTCTTCTAGCATGGACTGACCGTAAGCTGAAGGACATCGAGAACTACATCAGCTTATGCTTGGAAATTGATACTTTTAACCTGTATATGAGAGAGTGTTTTTGTACCAGAATTGAACTAGATTTAAATGCATTAGCTTATAGTCAAAAGTTATTCACAATGGTTGTTTACTTCATGAATATGGTAATTAGAGAGCAATGCCAAGCACAGACCTGCTTAAATAAGATAACAGCGCTGTCCACATATATTATTGATGCAAATGCTGTGAATTTCACCCTAAATTAATTACTAATTTAAAAACTTTAAATATTTCTCCAAATGAAAACTGAGGTAACCTGAACCTGAGCTAATTCAATTCCTTTAAGTGCCACTACTGAGCATGAATTATTTAAAAATCAAGTAGATAGATTTTTTTCTGAGGTGTAGTTATCATTGTCGGTCCGATATGCCCTAAAGCAAGAAAACATAAATTAGCAGAACAGAAGTCGGTTGAAACTAATGCTGCAGCGTTTTAGCAATATATATACATTTATTGCTCCACAACATGAAACCCACTCGACACATTTTATGAACCTAATGTTAAGAAATACCATGTTTTTGAAAACAAGCAGTTCCATTGCGAATCGAGTGGATCATGAAGTGAGTGTTCTATATTAGAAAGGCTGCCAGATCAGAATGCAAGTTTGCAATGTATTGTGGAGCAGATCATTTCTTTGAAATCAAGCCCTATTTCTTTAAGCATCTATCTGCTGCTTTTTGCATTAAAAAAATGCACTGATGAATTAAGCACAGGACCGGCAATGCGTCTTAAAGTAAAGGGCAAAATCGGTGCTAACCCTATTTAAAACTACAAGTGTGAAACTGTAATTAGGGTTAAAAGTGGCCTTAACCTGCAGTTAAAAAGACTAATATAACATATCCAACGTCGTCTGCATATACATTAAATGGTTTAATACAAGTTAAAGTGTTAGTTTACCCAAAAATGAAAATTCTGTTACTGTTGTACCAAGCCTACAGAAACGCAAATGAGAACTTTAACAATGTCTTTATGAACCTTTTTAAGCACTTTCATTGGAGAAACACAAATCTCTCAGGTTTTATTAAAGTAATCCAAATGAGTCGAGCAGTGTAATAAAAGTCTTCTGAGAGACAATCACTTTACACAAAATCTATTTAATTTAGACTTTTATTCACATATAAATATTGATCAATACATACACATAGAGCACATCAAACATGGTAAACAGAAGCTCAAATGTACTTGACGTGCAAGAACAATCCTCACTGGTCAAGTAAGCGCAGTTTAAGCTTCCATTTATATTTAACATGCTCTATTTATGTGCGCTGATCAGTGTTTTTATTTGAATGCATTACTTTTACAAACTTTGCTTGTAAAATTTTTGGAGAATTGGGCTTTTAATGTAGCCTCTCAGGTTTCCGCTCCAACCTGATCTCATGACGAAAACGTACCTGTGGGAACTTATTCGCAAAATGCGAAGATACCTATCAATAAGCACATATCACTGCAGTTTCCAACAGAAATGAACACTAGAGGCAGTGAAACAGTGAGCACTTGTAATCGTTTTCTTACACAGTTATGATTACAGCTCCATGTTTTGCTTTTCGGACATAAGCTTGCTCGGAACCAAAAATGGTTCTTCTATGGCATCGCTTGAAGAACCTTTTGAAGCACCTTTATTTTTAAGAGTGTATGCAGGATCCTGAGGTACGAATCTTGTGTAAAAAAAAAAAAAAAAAATTCCAATGAAAGAGCTCAAAGATGAGAGATCGGGGGAAAAAAAGCTAAAACAGCATGATTGCGTGTGTAAAAAGTATTTTATGTCACAATCACTTTTGTTCATACTATTGGGTAGGTTAAGGTGTAGTGCAGATGGTACGTTATTTTAGAACGTCGCGGAACTTTCGAGTTATAGCGCCACTCAACGGACATTTCAAGTTAGAACTGCGTGACACGTACAAAACCAACGTCACATAAAACGTACCATATGTACGTTCATCTATTCCGAAAAATTAAATAAAATAAAATAAAAAAAGAACTCTTTTAGTGCCACTCAGTGGACATTTCACATCAAATATATCATGAAACGTACATGGCGCTACGTATTTTGCATTTCGCTAAAAAAGATCCCACAGGTACGTGTTCGTCATGAGATCAGGCTCGAATTCACTTCATTTGTGATTCAAAGGTGAATGAAAGTCTTATGGAATGACACGTAAATGACAAGTTTTTATTTTTGGGTAAACAAACTCTTTAAGGTATTTTTTTATTTTAAAAAGCAAAAAAATCTAAATTTGAGGAAATTTATAAAACTTTATGCGCATGCTTCAACCACATATTCTATCAAATACAGCATTCGGCTTTAAATGTATATTGTGAAAAGCACTATGTATATAAATTACACTTGAGGAAAGTCGGTTCATACTATTGGGTAGGTTAAGGTGTAGTGCAGATGGTACGTTATTTTAGAACGTCGCGGAACTTTCGAGTTATAGCGCCACTCAACGGACATTTCAAGTTAGAACTGCGTGACACGTACAAAACCAACGTCACATAAAACGTACCATATGTACGTTCATCTATTCCGAAAAATTAAATAAAATAAAATAAAAAAAGAACTCTTTTAGTGCCACTCAGTGGACATTTCACATCAAATATATCATGAAACGTACATGGCGCTACGTATTTTGCATTTCGCTAAAAAAGATCCCACAGGTACGTGTTCGTCATGAGATCAGGCTCGAATTCACTTCATTTGTGATTCAAAGGTGAATGAAAGTCTTATGGAATGACACGTAAATGACAAGTTTTTATTTTTGGGTAAACAAACTCTTTAAGGTATTTTTTTATTTTAAAAAGCAAAAAAATCTAAATTTGAGGAAAAAACGAATTTATAAAACTTTATGCGCATGCTTCAACCACATATTCTATCAAATACAGCATTCGGCTTTAAATGTATATTGTGAAAAGCACTATGTATATAAATTACACTTGAGGAAAGTCGAATTTTTTTTTTGTAGTAACCAAAAATCGCTCCTGGAATACTCTTAAAACTTAATTCAAAGGGCCTCCAGAGTGGAAAGCATTCTGGGTGTTGTCATCATTCAGTTATGCATTGTTTTCAATAACTCGTCTCTGCTTTGCCAAGAACCTAATATTGCTGAAGCTTTGCCTCCCAAGCTTGGCTGGGCAACTTCAAAGGGATTCCTTCTCGTTTTAGCAGAAGGAAGAGGAGGGGGGTCCACAATAGGCCTGTATCAATCTGAGGGTGAGGCCCGAGCTCAAGGAAGCTCTCATGAGAGGCCTACGCCTCGGCCGACGACATGAATGGATCAAAGATGAGGGTCGCACTAAGAGACTCGACCGGGGGCCCATGCGGTGCTGGATGAGGAGCCCGAGTCGATTAACTCACCTAGTAGGCAGCGCCAGTTTCTGCAGCACGTGAACCAAGATCTGCCCTTCCGAAGAACCCCAACAGGAGCTGCCAACCGCACTCATCTGTACAGGAAGAAGATGAAATGTACCTTAGGAAATAGGCTCACTGACGGCACACTCTCGTACGATGTCAACCAGAAGCAGCGTGAAACCTATTTAGTCCCTTTAACGCGCTCGGCTCTATCATAACAGGCTGAAAATAGCATGAATGGTAACCCGTACGACACTCGAGTACTTTGCCGCTGATTTGACGTGTCTGTTTTTAGAATTAGCGGCTCTCCGCACTTCAGCGTGACAGAGCCCATTACAATGTCATCTCGATGGCATCTCACAGATGAGATGCTTCATCTGAGTGAATGAGGGTCAGTCTCTGATGAACAGCACAGGACAGACACTTCATCTTTTTAAGAGCTCTCGGTGAATCCTGCTGGCAGATGTACAACACACGCTGTGAAATCAGGAAGGCCGTTTTGGAACTTTTTCCTTCATAACTCACGTACTGCTACAAATCTACCTGCCATCTTTTGATAGTAAAAATATATACTGTATGTGGAAAAAAAGTAACTAATAATAGACATCAGGAAAATGACTAGACCATCAAACTTAAATACAACAACACACACACACACACACACACACAGCCATTTAAAAGTTTGGAGTCAGTAATTTTTTTTTAAACCAAAAATGGAAATGAAGCAATAAATCATGAAAGTGACATTTCTAATGTTACGAAAGATGCTTTGTAATGCTTTTGTACGTTCTATCATCAAAGAATGCTGAAAAAGTACAACAAAATGATTCCACAAAAATATAAAGCAGCACAACTGTTTTCAATAATAAGAAAACAATAAATGTATAAATAAGAAAATCTCCCACTAGTAACTTTGGGAAGTCTGATTCACTTTAGCGTTTATTTTGGCGATTTGTTTCAAGGTTAGCCCTGGGTTATTTCAAATTGTTATATTTAATCAATACAACAACATTAGCTACACATAATAAATAGGACTAACGATGTGTATGAGTTTTCTGAAGTGACAGCGAAGACTGATAATGTAAACAATGACAGGTCATGATTGTGTGTAACGTGATGTTTTACTGAATTCAAAATTCAGCAGCAACTCTACAAAAACGTGCCTACACACAGGACGTGTTTACTGTAATAGAACGGACACACATACCGGAAGCTTTCACTCCGAAGAGAGCGCAAAAACAGCACAAAAATGAAACCGATCGCTGCAGCTTGAGAGAGGCTCTTTAAAATTAACTGTTCAAAAACACGGCACATTAAAAATGCAAATCCGAGCCCAGTAAAGCTGGTCGCGACAAAAATGCTTATTATGATTATTAGGGTCTGCAGGTTATCTGCAGAAACCACAAAAAAAAACAATTCTTGAAGTGTAAGTTTATCAGTACATCTTCAGCCATGTATTGAGTCAGATAAAGACTGGCATTTTTTACTTAAGAGAAAAAAAATTAAGACATTCTTAAGAACATATTTGAGAACTTTTCAAGAATTGCACTTAAGTACATTCTTATGAACTTTGTGGAATTTATCTTAAGAAATTTCTTAACTTATTTCTTAAGGTTTTCGTGAATCCGGCCCCTGATGTTATAACCAGATGTTGAACTGAATGAAGCTGGATGATGGTATTATCATCTTCTGTAGAGCTGCTTTACAGCTGAATTGCATCTTGCAACATCAACACTGGTGCTAACCTGAACTCAATCAACATTGAACTGCCTTGAGCTGAAAAACAACATTGCTGCCTTGTTTAGCTGAATTGAAGTCATTTCAAATTGATGAACTCCACATTGTTATTGATCTGAACTGAACTAAACACTGGCTTGCTTAGTATGGGTCTGATAGACAATAATTTTAATAATTTATCAATATAACCACACTGACTCACACCATCGGATGAGAACAAAACTTGATGGCACTTCATTAATTACTCACCCGTATGTTGTTCCAAACCCATTAGACCTTTGTTCATCTTCGGAACACAAATGAAGATATTTTTGATGAAATCCGAGAGTTTTCTGACCCTCCATAGACAGCAAGGGTACTACCATAGTTAAGGCACAGAAAGGTAGTAAGGACATCGTTAAAACAGTCCATGTGACATCACTGGTTCTATAGTAATAAAGTTGACTTGATTTGACTATACTGTTATAAGAATCTAAATTATAAAATTTTAAGTCGCTTTAGATAAATGCGTCTGCTAAATGACCAAATGCAAATGTAAATCTCGCTTATTTACATTACAAGCTTTTAGAATACTTTTTGGCATATAAATATTAGCAACTGCACCAGATTTCTCAGTCTGGGTCTCTGAATAAGATTTAGATGTTTTTCCTCCTCAAGTATGAGCTCCATATTATCCTATACATATATGCACACTTTTTTTTCTTGTAGTTATGCATACAGATCCAATAAACTGTAGCATTTCACAAAAATAGATCCCCCCATGAATATTATTATTATTTAATGACATGACTAACCAAAGTTAACTTTTTTTTTCAAATTTAGTTTAACAGCTGCTTAAAATATACTTTTTTGTGATTGTGATTATGATTCTGTATTATTACTGTGGTATGCAATTGCAATCGCACGTTCTGGACTTGGCAAATGTCTATTGTCCATCTATTGCTTTTGTCATTGTGAAGCGTCCTTGAGCTTGGGAAAGCTGCTATATATAAATTAAACTTATTATTATTATTATTATTAATATACATGGTCTAGCCCTTTGCGACAAAAATATGGTGCACATATATGAATAATTTGCAGGCAGCACAAAAAGATGGCCAATGAGGTTTCTTCACTGTTGAGTTGATCAGCACGTCTTCAAGCAAGAACCACCATACACTCAAAAGAAGAACGAGTGTTCTAAAGAAAATATTTGTGAACTTGAGAAATTTTCAAGAATTGGAGAAACATTCTTACAAACTTATCTAAAGATTTCATAATTTTGGTGAATTGGGCTCTAGAACCCGGCTTGTCGAATGTTTCAACATTGTGTAACGCTTTGAATAAAGCTAGTTTTGAAATAATATATATATTTTTTTATTACGTATTTTCTTCTAGACTCTTAATATTCCTTGTTTATACCACAAATGTTTTCCTCCTCCAGCCACAATTTATACCATTATCTTCAAGGCTTTATTATGTTTAATTATGATTTTTTTATATATATATATAGTATAAGCCAGCTGGAAACGAAGCTTTGTTCTGAGAAAATCTCTTCCTCCTGCCAGCAATTAATTTGAGAGAAGCCAGATGACTCACAAATGAGCTCTCCCTGGAAAGCCCTCAAATGTCCACCAGATAGCGGATGAGGAGAATGTTTTGGAACAGCCACCTAGAAGGAGCTACTTTAAATAGCTGCTGAAATTGTTTCTCAGCAGCTGATAGACTCACAGCCTCTCTACGCAATTCAATGTGCCCAACATGCCTGGAGCAGTCTGACTCAATGCAAGACGTTATGTTGGCCTTCATTCCTCGGAGTTAGACACAAAATCTTGCAGCTCAGATGCAAAGGGTTGCAGTGTGACATGAACAATGAAAGCTGACAAGATATATTGAGTGAAAGACCGAGAAAGTGTAATCGAGACAAGGACAGTGGAAAAATATAACAAGATGGAGAGACAGAGGGAGTGAATCACATGTTATATGTGTGAGATCTAAACTCTACTGATGGCTTCAATCACTTCAGCTTTTTATGGCTGTCATCAGATTCAGGCAACAGTCAGTCTGGTCTAAAGGAGCATTCAGTCTGACGGCAATATGCAGCATGAAATAAAAGCCATTAACTTTAACTTCTCAAAAATTGGCAATTTAAAAAAGTACAAGTTAAGCTCAGTTGACAACAACTGTGGCATAAATGGTTATTTCCACAATAATTCATTTCCTCGTATCCCTCTAAGTTACAGCAAAGCACTTACAATGTAAATGAATGGGGCCAATTTGTACACATTAAATTACGTTTTGTTTCAAAAGGTAAGCACAATACATGTACAATATGAATGTTAACATGGTTTTAATGTGAAAAAATCACGTACTACCCTTTTTCTGTAAAGTTATATCCAATTTTACATTTTAGTTGCCATGAAAACCATGAATGATTTTCTTCGATTAATCGCATTATGCACAAAATTCAATAAATTAATTCAAAAGTAGTGTATTGCGCACTTTTTCATTTAAAAAGTGCAATAACATTTTGTTTGCAAACACTTTAAACAAATAAGGTGCTTTTTTTTTTATATAGCCTAAATTCCTTTTATATAGCCTAGTAGCAGTTAAAATATTTATTGTAAATCTCAACTTAAACATTAATGTAATTAAATATAAAACCAAAGCTATGTGTCACTGCCAGGGCATTAACGTTTTTTATAGAAACTATTTTATAGTTTGTTATAGAAAAACAAGTTATGCTCAGAGTCCAGAGCCTCGATCATAACAGTATAACAGGCACCTTCTGAGTAAAGACCTGCATGATCGCGCGACCCAACGCAGAGTGCTGCGCGGGACAACACTTGATGGGTGAGTGCGGGTACGGGCGGGTAGAGACTCGTGTATGCGGGATGCGGGAGAATAAGGGTGTACTCACACTAGGCAATCTTAACCGTGCCCGAGCGTGTTTGACCCCCAAAGCCCGGTTCGTTTGAATAGTGTGATCACTCGTTTAGCCGTCTCTGGCTCGGTTGGAAGAGGTGGGCCAGAGTGCGGTTCAGTTATATATAGATCAGTGAGCGTGAGCGCTAACCGCGCTGGAGCACGGAACTTCTGATACGTGCAGCATGATTGCGTGTACAGTTCTTTGCAGCAAAAGTGATAGATTTGTAAAGCAATATATTGTGAGAGGGCCGTGTGTTACCGCGTCCCAAACGACTCAAAATAATAAACCACAAAGTTAACAAAACAATGCACTCCACTGTGCTGAGCAAGCGCGCTTCTCTGCTGTCTTCATGTGCTATTGGAAACTTCCTATTTCCCACTGATGAAGTCCTGATTATGAGCTCGTTGCATTCTTTTCTGTTAATAATAACAGTGAACAGTGGTTTGT